TTTTTCTTTTTTCTTTTTCCCTTTTTCTTTGTCTTTTTGATATATTAAAGAAGGTAGTTACTTAGCCTTACAGGAATTTAAATTCTTAATTTTAATTTTAAATTAATAAATATTAACTCAATTAAATTTATTTAAAAAAAAAAAAAAAAAGAACTCAGCTAAATTCAATTGAACATCAAACTTTTCTGACAAACGTTTCATAGTTGAACAAATTAAAACGATATTTCGTCACAATGTGGGGACTCAGACAAACACTCTAGTTGGAATGTATATGTACATGTTGTAAGCTTAAGGAGTTAGGACACAATTTGGTATGGTTTGTGTTAAAGGAATTTGTCAACAAATGCTGTGATGCTTTTCCACGAATTCATGACACGGATCTTGACGTGGACACTTGGTGAAAAACCAGAAAAAAAAAAAAGTTTTGACAGATACGACAGATGAGAGGTCTCGACAATTTAATTGATGAAAGTGTGAATGACTACTTTGTATGATGTAGAACAGTCCATGATAAAGTTGAAATAAAGCAACCAATTAATCCTGCTTTTGACAAACTGCTTGGTTGTAGCTTCAAGTTTTCTTTTCTTTTCTTTTCTTTTCTTTTTTGTCTTCTTGTAGCTTCAACTTCACAGCGTCAAAAATACTTAGCTTAATTGAATTTTTAGTCTATTAACTATCACCTTGATTTTATTTTAGTCTAAAAACTATATTTTATTTCTAAGTGATCTATTAACTTTCAGATTCATTTCAATTTCGTCTACTTATTCAAAGATAACGGAAAACTTCCTATTTGTTATAGAATAGTTAGTCCTCTGACTATATTTTTTTTATCTTTTAATCCTTAAATTTATATTTGTTATAAAAATAACTTTTTTACTTAAAATTATTATTTATAAATTCTGATACCAGATTGTTATACTTAAAATTATTATTTCTAAGTGGTCTAATTAACTTTCAGGTTCTGATACCAAATTAAAGAAATAGGAAAACCCATATAAAAATCTGGTATTAGAGCCTATAAATAAAAATTTTAAGTAAAAAAATTATTTTTATAACAAATACAAATTTAAGGACTAAAAAATAAAAAAAAAATATAGTCAAAGGACTAATTGTTCTCTAATAGAAATAGGAAGTTTTCCGTTATCTTTGACTAAATAGATGAAATTGAAATGAATCTGAAAGTTAATAGACCACTTAGAAATAAAATATAATTTTTAGACTAAAATAAAATCAAGGTGATAGTTAATAGACTAAAAATTCAATTAAACCAAAATACCTTTTAGAAACTGGGCTAAATGGACATTCTCATTGATGTTACCAAAAGCTTTAGTAAATGTGAATTCTTAACTTGCCAAATTAAGAACTATTCCGAACCAGACCTTGTGGTCCAATGATTCGACCCCAAACCTTAAGTGTTTGGGTGAGATAGTCAAAATTTTGAGTTCTACTACCGTCGTGAATTCTACCAAAAAATGATCTAATGGCCGCATGCCTCATTTGAGGGAGTGAAATGTTCACCTAGTCTGAAGATCAGTTGTTAATAATTAACTCACTAACTTCCTAACCATTATTCTTGTAAAAAAAAAAAAATTATTCCATTCAATGTTACATAGTTATTATTATTTTTTTTATTTTTAGACTTAATGTTGCATGAGTGGTAAGCAAGTGACTCGTCTGGGGAACACAACTTCCTGACTTTTGCCCATCCGTCATCCGATCCTAAGTCCTAATCTTTTTTTGTTAAGTGCTTGATCCAAGATCCGAGTATTTATGTATCAGCATTTTGGATGAAAAACTGGGCGGTGATTATCACCACACATCCATTGGTGAGGGCAATATAATATGATGAATTTTTATTTTGATTTAATTATTAAAAATAATTAATAATTAATATTTATTATTTATTATTTAATAAATTAAAAATCAATTTATAAAGATTTTTTTTTTTAACATGATTTATAAAGATATATTTTCATATATCTTAATTATTGTTTAATAAAAAGTTATAAATTGATAAAACAAAAAAAAAAAGTATGTAAATTGTATTATCATAACAATTGACTGTATAACTATGACCACATCTGATAGAAATACTAGGCTCTTCCATGGAAGAGCAACAAGAAGAAGAGATCATAACAGAGTTGATAAACTTCAGGACAGTGAAGGGGTATGGAAGCATGAATTTGAAGACCCTCGCACGATCATCACGAAATATTTTGATGGGTTATTTTCTTCGTCTACGCCCGGGAATATTGAGCAAGTGACATCATGCTTGCAACCATGTGTCTCTAATAGTGATAACCACTTCTTGCTCCGGGCGTTCAATGAGGATGAGATTACACAGGCTTTACTCCAGATACACCCCTCCAAAGCACCTAGCCCGGATGGCCTCTCCCTAGCATTCTTCTAACACTTTTGGAGCATTGTGAAAGATGGTGTTGTCCGGCCCTGTTTATAGTTCCTCAATAATAAAGGATCCTTGCCGCAGGAGCTGAATTTTACCCACATTACTCTTATTCCGAAATGTAAGGAGCCTAAAACCATGGCTGATCTACGACCCATCAGCCTCTGTACATAACATTGTGTATAGGATCCTTGCAAAGACCCTGGTTAATTGATTCAAACAAATGTTGCCTCATGTCATCTCACAAGAACAAAGTGCCTTTTTACCAAATAGATTGATTATTGATAACTTCTTAATAGCCTATGGGATTCTTCACTATATGCGCGATAGAAGAAAGGGCAAGAAATGATGGTAGGCCATCAAATTAGATATGAGTAAAGCTTTTGATTGAGTGGAATGGTCATACTTAGAGCATGTTATGTGTGCCCTAGGCTTTGTAGAAGACTGGATTCAACTAATCATGAGCTGTGTATCCTCGATTACATATGGGGTACTCTTGAACGAAATGGAGGCAAGTAGAGTGACTCCAACTAGAAGGCTACATCAGGGAGACCCCCTGTCACCTTATCTTTTTATTTTATGTGTGGAAGGACTCACTAGTATGCTCAAAGAGGCAAAAAGAAGTAGGCTGCTTCATGGTATTCGCACATGTAGACAAGCCCCTAAAATCTCCCATTTGTTCTTCGCAAATGATAGCTTCCTGTTCTTATGAGCAACAATGACCAAAGCTTATAATATTATGGATATCCTCCAACGATATGAGCAGGCTTCTGGTCAGATGATTAATTTACAGAAATCCTCAGTTACTTTTAGTAACAATGTCCTAGATTGAACAAAGAGGAACATAGCTTAGGCACTTGGGATAAAGGTAGTTGAGTAACCTAGAACATGTCAGAGGTTCCTTGCCTTTGTGGGTACATCAAAAATAGCTACCTTCTCCTCTCTTAAAAACAAATTCCGGCCACGCATTAATGTTTGGAGGAAGCAGCCATTATCGTGAGCTAGGCGGGAAGTCCTTATCAAAGTTGTACTTTAATGCTCGCCGACTTATGTCATGGGTCTCTTCCTTTTACCAATTGGATTATGCATAGAACTTGAGAGAATTATGAATTGTTATTGGTGGGATGGTGGAGCAGAGGAGCACAAGGTACACTAGATGGAATGGAAGAGGTTGGCAGTCTCTAAGAAAGAGGGTAGACTAGGCTTTCAAGCAATGCATGAACTTAACCTTGCTCTGTTAGGGAAGCAAGGATGGAGATTATTGAGCAATCCAAATTTTCTTGGAACGCAATTAATGAAGGCTAAGTATTTCCCTCGCTTAGACTTCCTACATGCACAGTTAAAACCAACTTGTAGCTTTGTGTGGTGGAGTATTTGGCATTCCATTGATCTGTAAAACAAGGCTGTAGGATTTTGAAAGGAGATGGGCATAACATGCGAATTTGGGAAGACCTGTGGCTCCCTGGAAATTTCTAGTTCTTTGTTCAATCACCTCAGCCTACTGACTGTAGCCTTCAATATCTTAGTGATCTTATAGATACAGGTTCTTAGTCTTGGAAGACTGATTTGGTGTAGGATACATTCAATGCTCATGAAGCTCAGTTAATTCTATCCTTGCCTTTGGGTTGGACACGAAGGGTGGATTGTTGGATATGAAATCATATTAGACATGGAAGTTATGTAGTTTGTTTGGGATATCACAGAGCTATGGCTATGCGCAATAGGCAAGATGGACCTTCTAGCCCTTCTATGCAATTTAAAGGCAGCCGACTGTAGTCCCTTCAAGTCCCGAAAAAGATACGCCTGTTGCTTTGGAGTGCCTAATGCAATGTATTACCAACAAAGGACAATTTGTGTCGCAAACGCGTAGATGAGATTTGTTTTGCCCATTATGTAGAGATGAAGCATAATCTATGCTACACTGCTTTTTATCTTGTCCTGTGGCTCAAGCAGTTTGGCTAGGATCCCCACTAGGTCTCCGAGTGTTTGAGTTTCAAGTGGAAGTTTTGCCTCCTTCTTTGATAGCTTGACCGATCTACTAAGGGTAGAACAGCTTGAGTTTTTCAACATTCTCTGTCGGAAACTCTAGAGCTACAGGAATGATGCATTCTGGAATGGTAAGCGTGTCGACCCTCGGTTGATTATTGAACAGAGCATGGCTTTTAGTGTAGATATATGCGCCTGCTAGTCTCAAGAGGTAGAGGAGCAACTGTTATTCAACTGAGAAGTGAGACAAAGTGGCAGCCACCAGATGAAGGCATAGTCAAGATTAGTGTTGATGGTGCCCTCTTTTTCCAGAACTATGCATTTGGGATAAGGGCGATTGCAAGGGATCACTAGGGTGATGTGTTGGCAGCAATGGTATGTAAAGGGCAGGGGGCAGTGTGAGTGCTGAAGTTGCTGAGGCATGTAGTATCCGAAGAGCTCTTCAGTGGGCTCATGACCTCACTTTTAGGAGGATGATCTTAGAATCTGATTACGCATCCATAGTGGCAGCAATCAATAGTGATAATAGTAATTTGAACTCGAGCTTGGGTAATGTTCTCTTGGACTACAAAACAATGATAACCTCATTTGCCTTTTGCAGGGTAAATCACATCCGCTGTACTAGTAACACTGTTGCTCATAAACTTGCAAAGTAGGCCCTCATGGCTAAGGAAGATGAGTTCTAGATAGAAGAAGTTCCTGATTCCATAACGCATATTGTAACAAGGGAGAAACCTGTTGTATGAGAGAGAAATTTCTGGGTGCTTTGTAATTTCCTCCTATTTGTTTTCAATAAAGATTGCCCCTTCGAAATAAATTTAAAAATTAATAGGAACGCCCGTGCTCCAAACTCTTCGGGTTAGGGTTTAAAGGCGGCAAGCACCTCCTTTGGGATTCTCTTCGCATGAGGAGCCTTCCTTTTTCTTCTTCATTTCTTTGGATCCCACCGTTTCTTTGCCCTTGCTGTCATGATTCGGTGCGCCACAACCCAAGGTGAATCGAAGTAATATCAAAATAGATTTTTAGAACTTAGTCCGTAGGCTCCGCTTTGTTCACACAGGCTCTGTTTTGTCACTCACGTCTACTGCTGTATGGTTTCACTATTGTGCGGCAATTGATTGTTTTAGCAATGGCGGATGAGGATTGAGATTCCATGCTTAGCCAAGCCCATGTATCAGAAGATTAGGATGGCATCCTCCCACTTTATACAGTATGGAATCAAGAAGATGCAAATGTGGAAAGCTGCATTTGGTAGGTAAACTCCTGTCACGAAGAAGAATCAATCTCAATGGTCTCTACAATGCTATAATGGTCTCATGGAATCCCAAAAAGGCTTTCAAAATCTCTAAGATTGGAGAAAAAATTTATCTTTTTCAATTCTCAAAAATTGGAAATCTCAATAAAGCTTTTCATAGAGGTCCTTAGAATTTTAGCAACTCACTGCTTATTCTAAAGAGATTTCATGCCTTGTTACTTGTGGAGCAATATAATTTATATACTAATCCATTTTGGGTTAAAATTTTTTATGTCCCTATTGGTATGTGATCAGAGCCAATTGGACATATGATTGGGAGCTCTTTGGGCAAGGTCTTGAAGGTGGATGAAGGTTTCAGTAGGGCTATTAGAATCAAAATTGACTTGGAGGTGGATAAACATTTATGAAGATTTAACACCTCCCAGATTACTCCGATGGAATGTAAGAAGCTCAAGATCAAATATGAGAGACTTCCGAAGTTTTGCTTCATCTATGGATGTTTGGGTCACATGGAGAATGATTGCGAAATTGCAAATTGCATAAAAGGTGCATATGGTAAGATTGTACAATGCTTTGGTTATTGGTTAAAAGCTGAATTGGAAAACTCGTGGTGCCCGAAAGATTTTGATACTTTGGACAAAACTTTCTCTGCAAATACTTAGTTACTAGCACAAGATAAGAACAGAGGAGACAAGGAGCAATCCGAGTATGGAGATCGTCAATCGGCTAATTCATTGTTCAACAATGCTAGCCAATAAAGAGAGGCAACAATGAAGAAATAATGACTACTAGAGCAATTGGTGAGGCACCGAATCAACATCCAGATGGCTTGTCAGACAGTAGTATTGCATGATTGGTGGAAGTGCCTTTGGTGCATGAGTTTGACAACATTAGCAGGTTAAAGGGGCAAAATAAAGCTGTGAAAGGAGCCAAAGGTCAGTGGAGAAGGACAAGACGTAGAGATGAGCCCATGTTGCACATGGACAAAACCATTCATAGCAAAAGAAAGCATGGCACTAAATTTCTAGATGAGGAGAGAGCTTGTAAAGTGACTGTGGACAATACAAGCATGGCTTTGGCTCCATTAGCTAAAGGCGATGACCCTCCAGCAGGTTCAAATGCATTTTATTTAGGGACGACATCTAGCAAGTTGGGGACTATTGATGTCAAGTTTCCCTACTCTCCCCATAGTTAAATAAGTGAGGACGTGCAGTAGCTTCTGATGCTTATAGTGACTATCTTTCTACATTAGTAGCCATATTTTACCCATACAATGATTGCAATTACAATCTCTAGTTACAGATAACTCTCTCTACTTAATTATCTAAATTCGTTATAAGCATAATTTAAGTCTGTTACTAATGTTGGAAGTTATACTTCTCTTTTTAGGCTATAAGCCCTAAGTTGGAGATTTGACTGTAATCTCTTTTTATTTAATATAAATCTCTATTCCCTATCAAAACAAAGATTGCGCCTTTTGTATAAAAAAAATAAAAAAACTATAACCACAATTGATAAATTGCTATAATTTTTTTAATAGTGGCCTTAAGGGTATTGCTTAAAGGTGTAATAATTGTATTTTTATAATTAATATAGAAAATATAAATATTAATTTTGTTTAAATTAATTGACCAATTAAAATCATTTAAGTAACAATAGTATTAAAATAAGAATCTTCTTCTATGTTTTATTGTAAATTAATTATAAAAGAGTATTAACATAAAGAAAAGTATAAAAAATATATATTTATTGAGTGTAACATAAATCATTTACGTTTAGTCTAATCCTATGGTTTAAATCCCAAAGTCAAAAGATACAAAACTTTTTGTTAACGTGTTTTGAATTATTCAATGATAGAACTCATTCTGTTGGAGTTCTACTCGAAATCCATTTTTCATTGATAAAAGTAAACAAAATCGGCAGGTCTAGAGAACTCGTGGTAGAGTAAGTGGTAGCTTCCCGCATAAGACTTTTCATAAGCTTCGAGTTCAAGATCATCCCACTCCCCTTTCCCCTTGGGTTGGGGTTCAACCCAGCCCCTTGTCGATCAGTTCAAAAAATAAAAAAAAAAATCAGCAGGTATAGGATTGATTTTAATATCTATCAACCATATTCAAAATCTGTTGATTTCAATGGCAAATTAATTTAATTAAGAATCTGAATCTCAAAAACATGATAAGAATGGTGACATTGACAAACTAAAGTTGAAGAAATTAAAACAGATAGAAGCCTTCTGTGTAAAGCAGCTTCTCAAAATTACTATGGAAGCCCCCGTAATGATACACAAAAAGAAAATAAATTAACAATAAAGCGTTGTTTCTAGATGTACAGTGGATCTTTATCTTGGCTAAGTAGTTTATAAACTTATGAAAGGAGTTAACCCCCATAATTAACTGGGGAACTCAAAAAATCAATTAATTAAATGAAAATAGAACGGTGTGAAATTGCATGTCATCCTAGCTCTTTCCTGTCCTGAGCTTCTTTAGGGGTCGATCAGATTCTTCACAAGAAACGTCAGAATGTGTCATCCCTTGATTGATTGTGTGAACCTCGGTATCCTAAAGAGCATAATAAGTTGAAAAGAATTACTACTTGGTTCTACATGATGGGAATTAAGATGGACATGGTTAACAAAAATGAGATTAGTGTTTATAAGTCCGCACGGATCGAAAAAAAAAAAAAAGTGGATCTGGACAATCACAACCCTTGGATGTAGAGAAAAGAGAAAATCAAACCACATCCAAGGGTTATGTTTGTCTGAGCTCACAATTTCGGCAGTCGTGACTGTAACAACCTTAAGTGTGGATGTTGGAGCAGTAGGTCTGCTGGAAGACTGCTTCCCAAGCTCAATCTGCACTGAGATGCTAGCTTGTGACAAATCCACTCCACAACTCTGCAGTGCTTTTGTTAGTGTATTTAACAACCTGTCAACACGGTGATGAATTAGCTAATCAACATGGTGCCTTAAAAATCGTTTGCAGGTAAGGAAACCAAAGTTTATCAAAAACCATGCATAAGCCAATTAAAGGATTTGGAGAAGTATTTAATTAGTCATTAAATGGGCTAGAAGCAACAGAAGCTCACCCTCTGGAGTACACATTTGAGACACTAATTGTTCCACCTTCAATTGTCAGCTGCTGTTCTTTCAGTTTTTCAGTAGAAATGGTGTCATTGGTAGTACATGTTCCAGTATGGCATAATACAGGTTGAGGCTGACATGGATTCTTCTCTGCATCAGATGCCAGTCTCAGTGGAAGTTGAGCAGCTGCGCTGCCACTTTGGTCAGAGGTGAAAAAGTTTGGTTGAAGTGAGACAGGTAAGGGAATAGGCTTATTTGTCAGCCCAAGACGGTGATCTATTGCTTTGAAAGGAGTAGCTTGGCACGTGTCAGATTCCGTGGGGTTCTGTGCAGTATGGGGAAAGGTTGGAGAGACGGTGATGTTTTTCTCATCTAGCTCAGAAGAAAAAACTAATGCAGAAGACACACTATTTGCCAATTGAGATTGATCAGCATAACTCTCTACAGTCTTGTGGTTGTTTCTCTGTTTCAGATAAAATTTATGATTACTATCAAGTATTGGCTATATCACCACCTTCATGGATATAAACAAGGATTTACCCATGGCATCAATTTTGCTGGTTCATGGCTCCATCCTTGATATGATCCCTCATACTTGCGCACTTTTTCTTGTAAGAATTGAATGTACTCAATAACCTGCAAAAAGGTACACTTCCCTCGTTATTAAAAATTCTGGGAACTTTTGAGGTGGAGAAAAGAACAATTACTATGACAGATCTACCTACCTCTAATAAGAAGGAAGCCTTATCCCTTTTTTGATCATTATGAGGAATGATCTCTCTCAACTTCTGAAATCTGCAGAAAGAGATAAATTTTAACGCCAATGATGAACTTAAATCAAGCATACAAATCTTAACTCAGCTATCAGCGTTTTAATTTACAATTCCACTTCCAGTCAGACATTTTTGGACAACAATGATTGATCTCAATTCCTCCCCTGCAACCCATTGATCTATCTGGGCACAAAATTAGAACAAATGTCTGAAATTGATGATATTGTTTTAATTCTTAATGCATTTCGCAAACATATGCATCCATTCTGTACTTTGCAGTCAGTCAAGATTAGGTAACTACAAAAGAACAGAATACATGGCAGTTTCTACATCAAGAGATGAGAACAAACAAAACAAATATTTTACAAGCAAAAGGGCACCTAGACAGAGCAAAGCATAAGTTTTCCAATTTACAGCACAAAACTGTAGGGAGATTAAGGAAATCAAACATTCTACAGGAATATGTTTATTCAAACATCTGATCACAAGCTATATAAGACAAAGAAATATCAAAATCAAGAAGAAAAAGATTGCTAAATATTCAATATGACGAGCAAGTTACGCTTGCCTGTCGTTGATTTTACTCCTCCTCCGCTGCTCAGTGGCAGAATGTTTTGACCGTGGGGTATTTGCCTTCTGATCAGGGGCACTACTTCCATCTACTTTTACTCTCAATTCTCCTGAAAAATACCAAACCTCCTAAGCAAATATGGAATGAAGGGTTTGACACTAAAAACTAGGCCAATAAGCAACTTTCCACCAATGGCCTCAAAAAATTGACCAATTCCCATTTCACATACACCATACAAAAAAAAAAAGAAAGAAAAAAGAGTGAAAATAACTTTGCTGTGTTTGTAGATCAAGAATATACCTTTACTATGGGTATTAGTTGTAGAAGAAGACCCTTTTTTGAGGAGAAAAACTTCATCAACGTCTAAATCTTCATCCCGTGCGCTACCCTTGGCTGACTTTATCATTTCTATCAAGCTCTGGCTCTTCTGCCCTGATGATGGCCTGTTGACGACACCCACCATGGTTGCACATTCCAAGAGTTTCTTAAATTCTTGATCAAATAAAATAAAATAAAATAACTAAATTAAAAAGAGGAAAACGAAAAACAACTCACTGAGAGGAAGATAGAGAGCTGAGGCTGTTGCGGTGGTTGTTTGTCGATGATTGTGAAGCCCTCTCTAGTAACGCGGTCCATGGACCCACGTTTCCTGCTCCGTCTGTTAAAAGTGGCCGCCAAATATCTGAGTTTTTTTTCTCTTTAAAAAAAAAACTAATTATTGAAACACTCACACACAGTCCGCGCTGGGCCTAGTGTAGATGAAGCCTAGTACACAACATACAAGCCCTGGTCCATTCAAGTAACGGGCTTTCCTTTTATATTTATTTCGGAAAACATATTGTGATTTTAATTCTTCATTTGAGACTTTGAATGATGAGACAGGAAAGAAAGAATTTTATTTTTTTTTAAAAAAAAGAGGATATTATCTTTTATTATATAATCCATTCGTTAGGTATATCAAAAATTAAAAAAAATAATAAAAGGGAGGTTGGGCCTCGTATGCATAAAATGCTCTATTACATGGAAATGCTTTTTGCATGAGCATGCAAATTGCAAATGCAATGAAAGCTATATAGGCAAGTATTGCGTGCAGCAAGAAAACTTTACCTCTTATTAAAGCTGATTCTCCAGCATTCTCCTTCCCTGTCTTTCCCTTCCTGCTGGCAGATTCTTCCCAAAAAGCGAATCCACCTCTGGTATAAGAACTGCAGTTGGAATTCTCATCATTTCTCTCATGAGTACTACTTCCTTGACCCACCGTGAATGTTGATCCCTCTGGTTTTGAAACCCTAGGATTAAAATAGGAAATATGACTTATACTGTAAGTTCCAATCCCACCAGGTAGAATGTGCTCCACAGAAGGAGGTGGTGCAGTAGGTGGTGGCTTTTCAGCTGTTGATACCTCAACTTGGGCTTCTTCTTCCTTCGCACTTGTCTTACCCACCAGTTCCAGTGGTTTAAGGAAATCATGAGTTTCAAGGAACCCACCTGATCCATACACTGATTGTAGAAATATCAAAAGAGGGAAATGATATATAAGTCTTTATAAAAATAAAAAAGTTCTATAAAAAACCTAAATATATATTATACTTAAAAACGGTTTGATATAATGATTTAAAATTAGTGATTAATGGTTTTATATAATTTAATAGATAAAAATATATGAATTATTAATAATAATAATTTTTTTATATTTGTTGCACAATAAAAAATAATCATCTTTCATCCTATTCGCATGCAAATTAAACTCAAAATCTGTTACTTTCAACAAAAAGATAATCACTAAATTATTTAAATTATTAATAATTATTATTATTATTAATGGTCAAACTAAACAAAACTACGA